GCATGTATTTGTCTAATTAACACCCCTGGTTTTTTGTTCATGTAAGTGCTGAGTTCTTCTGTATACTTCTTTCTTTTTATTTGTTGTATACTTGCCATTTGCTTAAATCAAGAACTTTTAAAAAGAAGTGTCACTGCACGATTTGTTCTGGGACTGGAAGTACGATCCGTACCGTGCACCCGTACTCCGGGTTCTCTGCAGACCAAAAGTGGGTGTTTCTGGAGAATAGGCATTTGTAGAGGACAAACACTGATTGTCTAACTGCATTTGCTGTCTCTTTAGGTAAGTTACATCAGCTTTTTTTTTTTTTTAAACTGAAGGTTTCTAAGAAACAGCGTTATATCTACTGTCAAACACAAGAAGATTTTCTTTTGTTCTTGGGTTGTAGGCTGCACCTGACACAGGTTGGCTTGAGTGTGGTCTGGGTAAAATGAAATATGAAGCATCTGAAGCAAAACCTGCTCCTATTTGTCAAAAAGTCTGGTCTCAATTAAAGATCATGAGTCCTGTAAGGAGATAATGGCCCAAAACAAACTCTAAACACAATTTTTTTTCTTTAGAAGTGCTTTTCTGTGAGATCTGATCTATGAAAGGGGCTGAATCATGGAGTAGGATTGACTCTGAAAATGTGAGACAGCTGAGGAAGTTAACCAGTAAACAGGAATACCTGCTCCAGTTGCAGAAATCTTACAGAAACTGACAATCACTCATCTGCAGTGACTGCTTTAAAAGCTTGAACAAGAAAATGTGAAGTTAAAGGAAACATCCTTTGTCCCAAAGCCAGTTTAAGTATTATTATTATTTTGGTTATTTTATTTTTCTTTCTTTATGAATTGAATGTAACTATTTTCACATTATTCAACAACCAAAATGGATTTTTGTTTTTTAATGTAATGGCTAGGTATTAAAAAACAAACATAGCCCTCCCCACTACCCATTTATGTTGCTCTTATTTTGAAATGTAACCAAAAGTTCTATGTTAAGAGAGGCAGAAAGAAAAGTTATGGAGACGCTGCCAATCTGGAACTGGTTAACACCGTAGACTTAATATGTCTGTGGTTAACACAATCTGCCAATAACGCCTTGTTGTTTTTTTTTGTCCAATCAAATGTGGCCCTCCAGATACGCCTTCCGTATTTGTATGCAGAGATACCTACTTGTTACTCTGGGCGCAGGAGAATTGCACCCAGAATATTCCTATATCTTGTAATGAAGAGGAGCTAACTGTGCATGTAAAATTTTTAATGAGTGTCTATGGGCAAAGATTCTTGCGCTCCCAGGGCGGAAATACATCATCAATCAGTGTTTTTGAAAGAAACAACTTTATTCATCATTAACTATAAAATATTTATCTTACACAACAACAACAATATATATATATATATATATAAAAAAAATATATATATATAAATTAAATATAAATATATATATAAATTTTGAAATATTTTTATTTTACTATTTCATTTTTATTTTATTTTTTTATGTCTTCAAGGTAATATGATGAGTTGTGTGATTGGTGGGGCGGCGCCCTTGCGCCCTCTATTCGCCAGCCGCCACTGCTAATAACAGTGTTTTGTCAACTAGGGAGATTTTTGTCCATAGTTTTGGAGCAAAAGCTTCACCAGTAAACCAAAATGTTGCATCAGTAGCACAAAAGTCCCAGCTAGTTGACATTTTAGTGCACTTGCAGACTGCTGGAATAAACTAGTGCATGACTATGTTATACTGGAATGTTAGAGAGAGAGAAAAACCTTAACAATTAAAGAAGAACCCACATGTTGGCCTGGTTAAACTACATTTTTGGCCTTTCAAGTTAAGTCGTAAAACACAAAATGCTGACCAGTTGACCTGTCAATTATATGTTACAAAGTCTGTGGTTCACAAAGTTAACCAGAGAAACATCAAGCATTTATAAATTGGGACGTGTGGTTTTACTCTGAGCATGTAAACTGTAGAAGGCCAAGCAGAATGATTTTCTTTCAGACACAAGACGCTCTTTAAAGAATTCGAGGATGTGCTAAAAAAAATCAGGATGTCAATTTAAGCACAGTTTCCATGGCATCTGTGAGCATATTCAGATTAAAAGTTTACATTATACATAGAGACATGTGAGTGTGATATTAAAGATGCATACGAACAGCTTAGCCCAGACTAGAGGCGCTCCTCGCCAAATGAACTCAGATTATGTTTTATTCAGACACTCTCGTGTTGTGAAAATGTAGTAGCACCAATTCCTCCGCTTCCCTGAAGTCATCTGAAGGACAGACACTTCACATGGAGAGGCCGTGCTGCCTGATTTAAATTTTATAGAAAGTTTATGTAAACACGTGAGCATAATCTCATCGTTCGGGTGCGCCGATGGAATTTATTTTCATTTGATGCAGCTGGTTTGGGTATTTGTGAAGGTAAAACATAAGCAGTAAGAGGTGAGGCTGCAGGGCAGAAGAGCTGCTCATAAACTTTAAACAATGAGCGTGAGGGGAAAAAGGGAAAAGATTTCACCCAAAGTTATTTAGGATGCAAGTTTCTATAATGCAAACCCCAAATTAAACCTAAAACATAAATTATTTAATCAAAAGCTGTGCAAATGAGGAGAATTTCCCCTTTAGTTTAACAAAAAAATAAATAAATCACTGCAAACAATATATTTGTTTTTAATTTTATTTTTTTATGCAGTGTTGATACAATGTGCATTATTTTGTCTTGTCAGTATCATTTGATCTGCTGTTTTACCACCGTTTCTTGCATTCCGGGTTTGCAACAGATTTCAATCAAAACCTGTCGCTCTCATCACAGAGCAGCACTCGCTGAGTCTTTGAGGAGCAAAGATGAGCAGACGAGCTCCGGTTCGTTAACGAATGTGTGAGAAAATCACTAAACTGTTTAAAAAACAACATTCCTCAAAGGAAGAATAGAAAGGATTTGCATACTTTGCTCCCTAAAGTACACGAAACTGTACGAATATTCAAGAAATCTGGAGGAATTTCATCGACCAATAGTCTCAAGTCTGATCTGGACTCCTGTGATCTCTGATCTCTCAAACAGAACCGGATCATTCATGGAGAAGTAAATAAACCACATTGAAAATCTACATTAGTATATTTTCATGAAGGAAAAAATATTATTGTTGCGTGACAACAGGGTTAGTAAAAGAATAGTACATAGAAATGTAAAAGTACCATGCTGCCCTCAAGACTGCATGTTTCTCAGTGACGTTCATGCATTTTTCACCAGCACAATGGAAAACCACACTCAGCACACATTACAAAGATAGGGCTCTGGAAGAAGAAGGTTCTGGGCTGCCTGCAGTCCCCATCTGTTCCTGCCAGAGAATGTGTGGAGAATTCAGAAGTAAAGCTGTGATGATGACTGCTGTACTTTCTGTAAGAAGAGTTTTGGAGGATACTAAAATATTTCTAAAGAGACTGAAGAGTACCAACGCAGCTACTGCCCAAAAGTCCAAAAAGCATAATCTTTCATCCATAAAGCCCAGAGGTAAGTCCTGGCTTTACACCTGCACTAATCCAAGCTGACTCAATGTGGACGTTTTGATGTATAAACTCAAACAAAAAACACAACAAAAAAAATGTCAAAACTCCTGCCAGTTGCTCATCATGGTCACCATGGTAACCACACTTCTATGTCTCTCACTTCCCACTAACCCTCTTTAAAGGACAGGCAGACAAAAACACAGAATAGAAAGTAAGGCTCAGAAAATCAGTCACTGTGGGAAACCTGTCATACTGAAAATGAATCATGAACCATAAGCGTTAGAAACATCTGCACGTCAGTTATTGAGTGTTCAGGGATGGTCTTTTATAGGATATATAACAAGTAAAAAGACTCATTTCCTGTTTCAAGGCTGCACGGTGGTGCAGTTGGGAGAGCTGATGGATGGATGGATGGATGGATGGATGGATGGATGGATGGATGGATG